CCCAAAACCCCAAAACCCCAAAACCCCAAAACCCCAAAACCCCAAAACCCCTTAAATAAAATTTATGATTGAAATGGTTGAGTCTTGTATAATATGCTTGCTTCTGATAAAGTTCTCAAAGGAACTAATTAGCTTTCAGCACGTGCAATATCTTTATAAAGAAACTCAATTATATAATTAAGAAATTCCTGAGGATCCATATTAAAATATTTTTAACATAATTGGTGAAGTAGAGTCTATCATTAGCATAACTTAAAAGCACAGGTATAGTTGTGAGCATCATATCAACTCCTTTATATAAATCATTCTTTATGAAATCTAGCACCTTCTCAGGCAAGAATGGAAATATCTCTGACACTTTTCTTAAACAAACAAGGTATCGTAAATTCTAGCATGATAAGTCCAAAGATATTCTAGGTATATTATTATTGTAGGGATTAGGATCATCTCAGATTATTCGCATACTAAGATCCCATCCTTTAAGGAATCTCTGGGTATTTGCTTATAAGGTTTCTGGAGGGATAAAATCCTTTTACTACTTCTAATACTATATAGTTCCAATTCGTACAAAAATGCAGTTTCGGGTTTAACCCTACATGCAAAAGTATGTTTGCAAGAAACATCAGTTTGCCTAATTTATGAATTAAATATTTCGCTGGTCTTTTATGATAAGAATATATTTTTTAGGTTTTCTGATTTTACTTTTCTTCCAAGTTTGAACAAAATTATAAAAATTCTTTTTATTATTCGTAAATGATGGGAAAAAGTGCAGTCAGAGTTAATTAAGGGTGAAATTAGATTTGATCAGTTTTGGATTTTATAGTTATTTAATAAATTAGAAGACTCAGGTTTTTGTGGAAATTGGTCTTGGCTTTCTCATGGTCGCTTTGAAGTAGTGATTGGTTGGTAATTAGAACTCAATCAATTAGTAATTAATAAAATAAAGCTAACGTAAGAATTCTATTCTAAAGATTTACATCCTTGATGTCTTTAGGCAGTCCTCTCATGTTCACCGAGTTCACAATCTTGATCTTATGGGCGTCAGTGTGACCATACTTGTCGTACAACTTTTTGAGACTGACTGAAAAGACCCCCATGAGGTAGTCATTGAATATTGGGGTTCCTTGGAATCTTTTGTAGCATTTCTTAGAAGCTTTGAGGTGAAATAATTGCTTACTTGATTGAACATAACATACAAACAATCTTACTGATAGCACTTGGGATGCTTTATTTTCTTAAATTAATTTTATCCTATAAATATGGTTAATAATTTTTATATTTTCAATTATCAAAACTTGAAATGGGGTTTTGGGGTTTTGGGGTTTTGGGG